AGTTTTGTATTCGTTGTTTGATATCCCCTGTGTGGCTGCACTTGATGTGAATGTTGACAAGGTGCCTGACTGTCTAACACCCTCGAGACGGTGAATCGTTGCTGGGGGAGAGGACGGGGTGCACTGTCCTTGTGGCCGAGCTCCACAAAGAATGCTTTCATACATTCAGTGTGGAGCGGACTAGGGCCCAGCCAGCGCTTTGTGTACGTATGGTATACATGATTACCCAAGTATATAGAGAAGAATGCTGTTGCGGCGTACGCTGAAGCACCGTGGGCCGGCTCCGTTGATGAAACGTGGCTCCCATACACATGCCTCCCGGTCTTATTCCTTCGGGTTTACACTGGATATGGGTTGTGTGGTTGGAGGCGTGCGTGGTGCACCGCAAGGCATCTATGGTCCCTCTGTAGTCGCATGCGTCCTGTGGCTGTCCTATGGAGGTCGCTGTGACCGGCAAATTCGGAACTGGACGCAACCAACCATATGTAGGTGTGTAAATAGTGTGTAGATATGCTGACCAATGCTGAGGTTGATTTTGCATTCTTGATGCTTCACCGCAGTTGGACTAAACAAACTTACATTTAAACTAGGTCTTTTTAAATTGGATAAATCTCATTCCACTTTATTTGGTTTGTTCTGCCTACGTGAATAATCTTCTATTAACTAGCTACGTCGCTTACGCTAATTGCGCTTCGGTAACTTTGTTGCGTTTGTAACATTTTTAAGTAAATTGTGGACATTTTTTACTTATCGCGGATTCTTTGTCAACTAACTTACTTCATATACTAATTTAGCGGAGTTATGCCACCGCATTTGTATGCGTTATTTGATTTAGTTTATTTCATCGTGTCATTTCAACTGATTGGCTGTTGTTTGATATCCCCTGTGTGGCTGCGCTTGACGTGCATGTTGACAAAATGCCTACCTGTCTATTACCCACTACCTCGTCCATACTGCCTCCAGGAGACAGTTGTTCGTTGCTGGAGGGGACGGGGTGCACGGTCCTTACGTCCGCACCAGGCTCTAAGGGCGGTTCCATACGCTCATTGTTGAGCGGACTACGGTCTAGCCACCACCTTGTGTGCGCTTGATTCCCCAAATACAGCGTGCTTGTGTTTGCCTGTGAAGGAGTGTGGGCCGGCTCCGTTGATGAAACCTGGCTCCCATCCACATGCCTCCCGGTCTTACTCCTTCGGGTTTACACTGGATATGTGGTATGTGGTTGGAGCTGTGGGTGGTGCAGCGCAAGCCACCCATGGTCCCTCTGAAGGCGCAAGCGTCCTGTGGCTGGCCACATTGACAGGCAAATCCTAAACCGGATGTCGCCAACCAGATACGCTGACTCTGCATTTGTGTTTAAGCAGGTAGCCAGTGCAATTAGGGCTCATAGGAACTCTCCGAAGTGGATGACTGATGTCCGTAGAGTGGACAAGACAGTGAGTATATTTACTGGCGAGTCACATCCGCCAAGTCACAGTGTTACTAAGCAGACATTTGGCTGTTATAAGGTGTACAGTTGCCAGAGAGAAACACAGCACGTGCTGGAACACTGCAACCGAACAGTTCGCTGAAACAAATTAACCCGAACCAGCCAGCTAGTATCACGGAAAGGTTGGATAGCGAGTCAGACTGGATCAAGTAGACCAAAAACACGACTCTCTTGTCTGGTCCTCGGGGTACCCGCCTATTTTTAGTGGGCTTTTCAATTGAACTTCAGAAGTGGTGCAGCCTCCATCCACTTACACTATCAGGATCTGCCGCTGTCGCAGAAAAGCGATTTAGTGCTGTTACAATAATTGTGATGAACCACCACTTCAACAGACTTGGTCATTCTCCATTGTGAATGCCTGAGTCACAATTGTAGGTTTTTGGCGCGATTGCCCATCTCCTTCAAACATCTATTCCTCTCTTGGTCCTTTACGTTATGCGGTCATACCTGTCTTTGACGACCAGTTAAGGGACCGACATAATGTGGTCCCTTGGACAGGTGTTCCCCATGGACTGATTCATGCATAGGGGACACTATGCATCATCGATTATACATGTGTATCACACTTTCAAATGCAAACTAGATATGTAAACGGACAACTACTAAAATCAGTTTTAGTCGTCCAATCAAAGCAATAACAGTAGTATTTTATACTGTGCGATTTATGGGTAATAAAAATGAAATAAATTTACGGTTTGTGAGTAAACCTTTAAAAAAGTAACTTACAACTCAGTGTAATCCATAGCTTTAGAAAAAGTTTACACACTTCTATTGTCCGTATGATTTTTCACCAGCTGAAAACAATCTAGTAAAGACGTCTAGTGCTTGACAGTTGGAATAAAAATGAATTTATGGGGTTGCTCATCGCAACACGGGTACCCCAAGACCGCGGTTTCGTCCTGGTTGGGACTCATCAGTTGAAGATAGCCTGAGTTGGGCTGGAACTCAGAGCCTAGTGGCTCATGGTTGACGCCATAAGCACTATGACACTGAGAACCACGAGCAACGCTTGGTCCAGCGGAAACGAATGCAAAGTTGGGCTTGGAGTATCCGCTGGTGGTTGGGTTGCTACAAGCAACCTCTATTGAGACCTCGGTTCACTTGAGGTGGACCTCGATCATTCCGATCACAAAGACCGTAAGTAAAATGGAAAAATGAATTTAGTTTTTCCTTCAACCTCATGTTAATTTCCAGCATGTCACTGCGTCCGATATTTATTGCGTTGGAGCGCATAATATCCAAAGCACTCTGGGCATCCGTGAATAGATACATCGTCAGAACTTCTGTAGAATCTTGCTCATGCTCGTCGACCGATTTGCTGTTCACATCCTTAGCTGTTAAAACTGAAGTGGCAGGAAGGTCCCAGCTTATTTTTGTTGCGTTACAGCTATGTAGGTTAGAATGAACCATACAGATGGCAGTCAGTTGGCATCCAGACAATTTCATTGAAAGTTTATCCAATGTAGTAGGAGGTATAATCTGCTTGTATGCTTCAGGTCCAGTTGTCGTTGCTGTCTCGGAATCTATGTTTACAGAACAAGGAAACCCTGCTTTACACAGAGTTTGTTGAGTTCTCCTCCTTCTCCTTCTATGCGGCAGTATTCCAGCACATGACGTCCAATACATTTACTCGCTTCCTGAGTTCAGTTCCGGACATATCTTTATGTTATTCCATGATCGTACTAAGATGTAGAAACTAGTTGGGTCCCAAATTTTAATTTAAGTGCCTGAATGACGCCCTGGTCGAGAGGTTAAACTAACGCATTGGTGTTAAGTGGCAGAAAGTGTAAGTTGGCATTCTTCAGCTGGATTTTGGGACGGCATGGCAGTATCAACCAACAAAGGATCTTTCGCTTTTACTTGTTGCACCTTTCTGTCAAAACTTATAAGCCAATCATCAAAAATGACTGCAATCTCCCATACCTTGTTTTTATTCTAGTAAATTACCTGTAGTTTTTTTCAATATTGATGTTTTTAAAAAATTCAAGGTCTGCCTGATTTCCCAATCACTAAGGCCGGTTCTCCTTCTCTCGGCGTGTTAGTGCCCAGCATCACTGTGATTTGCTCCTTGCTTTTTTTCCATCTATGTACTTTACTCCTCGGACAAAAGATTTTTGTCCGACGTCGCTTTGAATAACAACCCAGTTTCAATTAAATTAACGTGCCTTGGGATGTGTAAGCGAAAAATTTTGCTGTCCAGTCTGATGCAGCGCACACATATCTGAGTCACCGCCTTCGACAAATTGCTTACCAAACACAGGGTTACGCGTATTGATAAAAGCCTGCAACCAACCTTTGGAGGATGCTTTAAACTCTGCTTTCAATTCGTTTGCAAAGTGTAAAGCTCGTCCTTGAATAATTGATCCAGATAATGAGATTTTTCTTGCGTGCAAACCGACACCATTTCCAACTAAGTGTGTTTATGTCAACATTTCCCAATTATCTGCCATTCTTTTTTCCGTCCTGGTGCGTTGTTTTGTTATTTAAAAATTCGACTTTTCTTGTTACAATTCGAAGGATTTATGTCTTCCTTTCTCCGAAATATTCTACCAATTCTGCCGTTTTCCTTCTTTATCTAATCACTGACTTTCTTTCTTCGAGGATTTATGTCTTTTACACTGCAGTTTCGAAACTCGTCATTTTCGCTCGAACTGGACGCAGAATGCTGTAGTTTCTATTTTTCTCCTGTAATTTATACAGACCAAATTCTCCCATGGTATCCAGGAGTTACCGACAACTTGTGCATTTTTGGACAAACCCCCAGATGAACAAGCACCCATTTACATGCTCGGACATTTAATTTGTCACTGCACTTATAGCATATAGTCTTACTACCCAGCTAAGATAAGCAGAACGAACGGGTAATTATGACACCTCAAGATGAAATCTAAGCCATCGGTGCGATAATGTGGCAGGCTTTCAATACGAACCCTCAGCCAGTCCGGCTGTATATGGTCAACTTTTACAGGTGCTAGAATCCCTGGGTACCACTAAAAGGTGGCTGCGGTTGCGTTAGACAGGTGGACACAGTACACAGGTTAAGACAAATGAGAAAATGTATGATAACGTTTGGGATGTTTTTGACTGCTTCCCAGTCCCCTAGACAAGCGATACCAACAGACAGGTTGTTCTCACAGCACGTTAGACCGTAGTTGATACTGCTTAAACGTAAACCAGCCACATTATGTTTTCAGGTATGTGCCCATTGATTATGGTTAATAAAACATGCTGCCAGACCATCTCTAAGAGTGGGGTGGTTTTGAATGCTATTTTTCTAGAACCCCACAAAATGGGGGCAGGAAACATCGTTAATGTTGTCAAGCATCAGCGGTTGTGTAGTCTAATGGTTGAAAACAGCGATAAACCTATCTATCTGGGTGAATCATCTGAGAATAAAACAGGGCGCCACCTACTTCTGCGCTTGCACATACGCTTGTAAAAGAAGTTCATAATGTTTATTATGCAACCATTTAATCGACTCCTCAGCTCTTAATGTTGTTTGTGTTTGTAGATCTGTCCATAATCAATTACCAAAGACAACAGGCTCAGAAGGCGTCGGAGAAAGACAATAAACGTAAACAGGAGACGATGCAAGAAGACGATCATGCACAAAGAGAAGGGAAGTTACGCCAAGTGAACGACATGGAACCTAGCCAAGAGCACTCAACACGACCGGAATCTGATGCATGCGAAGACACTCACCTGAGAGGGTTGAGCAGTCTGCTGATGCCTCCATCGGTGCGAAAAAAGTTGGAGGCTGTAGCAGCTGCCAGCAGTGGTGACAATGACTTGGATGGGAAAGCTGCGACCGAAGCGGTTGCCCGATACTACATGTTGGAGACTACACGTAAACAGGCAAATTCCCACACCGTTGAGTCTACTCACTTTGAACGTAACACAAAGTGGAACACAAGTTCGTGGAAGCCCAATCCGGACGACTTGTTCACCGCGCGCACCGAACGGCCAATTAAGGGTATTCACCTGCGGGAGCTGTACAGAGTGGAACAGGAATTGAATGACATGGCCGAGGCCTTATCATCCCACTCACTCTCTGAAGCTACTATATCAGAAATTAACGAGTTGGAAAAAATTTGATTCTACTGTGTAATTTTGTTTGCCCATTTGTCTGTTGGTTACACAGGTGGTTTTTGTATCGGTGCATTTCCGCAAATTCCAGGTGGAATACTGTAACATCGGTTGTACAAACACATCATCCTTTGCATGTGTGACCCACTGCGGCTAACAAACGTGTCATAATGTCGTCTGCATGAAAGATTACACTCCGATTTCCGCCTCCTGCGACACGCACAAATGGCACTCCTGTCCGCAACATTCACTCGGATTAGTCATATTCCCTCGTGAATGTGTGGTTAATGACAATTTAGCTAAATAAATGAATCTTTAAAAGGGAAAGTACTGTGTGAAAAAGCCTCCACTCGTATAAATTGCTTAGCGAAAAGTAACTAAATGGAACCCTCTGGTTGGCCAGCTAAATATGCTATTAGGCTAAACTCTTGTCTGGTTTGGACTTCAGACCCTTTTGTGAGTATGGCTGTCTATGTGGTCATGGCGTTAGTTAAATGGTCAGTGGAGTATGTAGACAAACTGACCAGCACACTAGACGGAAAATATGAAAATGCTGCCCGTCTGTACAAACGGGCCTAGGTAATACCATGTGTGTTTCGTAAACCTTTACACTTTAGTGAAGCAGTGCCGTTGGTTACAGCCTCGCTTGGCCCTACCATCCGCATTATGGTTAAGTATGACCTTATTTGAAATGATTTGCCCGAAGTACAAACCCCAATTTCGCCGCACTAGGTGAGCGAGTAGTTAGGTACAATGAATCTCCGGTCTCTGAATTCGCTTTAAACACATTTATTCACCTTCACCAGTGATAAAGTAAAGCTAAAACATAGTGATAAGTCCACCTCGAAAAAGCAACACCTTATTATTCGGCCTTTTGTGTGACAGTTGCTGAGTCATTTTTCTAGTATGATGACGTTCACTTTTGGTCATACTGATGTAAATACGCTTGAAACTACCAGAATGAACTACTTTAGTTAGTTTAGTCGCTGTCTAAATACTGGGGTTTTTGTTGCATGTTAAGCAACGTTCCTTACCTCTCAATCTAAGTAAACGCACCTTGGAACAAGTCTATCCGGTTATGTCTAACTATAGGGACAACCCAACCATTTGCCAAGGAAGAACATGGCAACAACAAGAAAGGATTTTCCAGTGTGTTGTGTTAACACCGGAAGTTGGTTCATTGGTAAATAAGTGGTCTTTGATGAACTTTTGTTGATTCGTCCCAGCACCTCACAAGCCACATACTTTAATCCCAGTCAGAAAAAGTAGCAGACGGCCTTTTCGTCCTATTGGGGATCGTTAGTGGTGGGCATTCCCTCGGTCCCTAAAATGGAACCAACCTATAACCTCTGGCATCTTGCGTCAACCACCCAGCAGCTTTTGTAATTGTGACGTGGGGGACGGTGACAGGCCGTCGTAATTTTCAACCTAACTAGAATACAGTGCTAGCTGTCCTCCACTTCCATACAGTTTACTACCATTACAGAAGACAATATTTGGTCACCAAAGGTAACGACTTTCATTAAACAGCAACTTTTACACATAGCATTTCATGGTCGCTCAGTCGAGAGCGATCGACAGTATTTGTTTCCTTGCAATCGCATCACCAACAGTTGCCTTGCGGCAGACGAGTACTTGGGCTATCTGTCTTCCATGCCTGTCTGATTGACAGCTCTCTAGGAAAGTAACCGCCACAGCAGAGTTTCACCAACATCTACTGAAGTGTCCAAATCTATCTCAGAGATGTTGTTTAAGGTTAATTCAATGGTACAGGCGTGGTCGGAGTACGGAGCCCTGAGGTACATCGCAGGGAACTTCAGTTGGGTCTGATAGGATGTTGCGTACCCTCACATTAAGGAGAATTTGTTAGAGAAACTTACATATCCCGCGCAGAATAGAATTGACGATGCCATAATCCTGAAGCTTGTGCAGTAGAGTGCTATGATCTAGACGATGAAATGCTTTTGGCAAATCCATATAGGCACCATCTACTCCTTATCCAGCTTCCACACACTCCGTCCAACTTGCAGGAGCTATCAGTAGACTAGTAGTTCATAACCGATTTTGATGAATCTGTGTTGCTTCGTAGCGAGAATTATATTACTCTGCAGATACCCTATAATTGTTTCAACCACAACGGGCTCTATGACATTAGAGGTCACTGAAATTAGTGTTATCGGCCGACAATTCCCTAGTACTGAAAGCTGTCACACTTGTAGAGTGTAGTGACGATCCCGTGCTTCCACCTTGTGAGAACCTGCCTCTTATCAAGAAATTATTGCATGAATATTGACAACGTTTCAGCTACACTTGTGGCAGCCACTTTCAAAGCCATTTGGCCAATGCTATCTGCACCAGAAAACCTGTGCTCGCTTAATGGACACCAGCCACTTCAGTAAATACTCGGCTAAGTCCTGGTTATAACGAGATCTGTGTGAAACTGATATAAGACGACGCTGCGTTCTGGAAAGTGCAAGTAAGTCAATGTCAAAGTGCATTTGCTACTCTTTGTATAGTCTAGCTTTGTCCACACGCGATGTTTGAAGCACGGATACCTTGCTGTAATGCCTGTAAAGTAAGTCTATAAATTGGCTTCGGATTAGGGTAGAACTTCCTCGCCAAATCCTGTTAGTGCTATGATTTGTTTTTACTGACCAGGTTAATACAAAGATTTCGATCAAGTATGTAAGTCTTCCCTTTTCCGGTGTTTGGGCAGACCTTTTTTGCTTTCCAAAGGGTATCTCTCTAGGTCATTCGTTTCCGCATTTTCCTCATCAGGAAGGACTTCCCTATTTTTGAGCAAAGGAGCTTAGTCTATGATGACTATGTTGCAAACTTTCTGAATTGTTTCTATGGAAGCCCCTAGAACCGCGGGTAACCAAAGTTGGATTTAGTTTGAATACCTCACTGGTTGGACACATATTGGCCACATTTCTTTGAGGATGTGTGCCAAGTGACGATTTGGATAAAGAAATGCCTTTTAAAGGGAAAAGTGTTGTAGGAAAAGATTCACATTCTCGTGCAATCCTTAGTGAAATAAATATATGGAACTCTGAGGTTCATCAGCTAACTATACCAATAGACTGTAACCTGCAGTATCTTTGTGGTCAGATACTTATGATCCGTGGACGTCACGGACCGCCATGAATATTTTCCTGCCAATTTGCGCATCTACCTGTCTTAGAATAAAGCTGACAAGGAGCCCAACCTTCCTACTTGTCTGACCAGAGTGTGAGTGGTTATGGTGGATGTGAACAAATTCAGGATTCTCGGTTAACTCCAAAAGCAACGTGCCGTAAGCAGTGTTCGGTGATTAAGTGCTAGAAGGCTCTAGGTTACATGTTGTGCGTGCTCAGACAGAACATCTACTGCACTCTGGTTAAAAGATGCGCCAACTAAACCCACATTTCTCAGATATTTTGGGTCTGGAAAGTCTTTTTGCTGGAAGTACAGATGGCAGGCCCCTGAAATACCACCGTGTTCAAAAAGAATGCCAACTGCTGCTATAACATCTTTATTTCGCACAGTACAACGTTTCAAAGACTATCCCCCTCAAGGTAGTCCCTTCTACTGGCAGTGTACTTTTTGATACCTTCCTTGGAACGCATTTGCTGGGATGGTGGACAGGTCTTTTGTCGCATTTTCCTTACTGTCCTCTATGTTTTGGTAACTTCCTCCTTTCAGCATGATTTTAAGGAAAGGAAACAGGAATAGGACTGCTGTAGTTTTGCTCAGATGATACTATGGATGCAGCAGAGTGGGAATTTGATGTTTTCCTTGTTAGCTGCGGATAATGAGTGATTCATGAGCCTGCGCATTGACATGATACAGCAACCAAGTCCACACTGACATGACGCATCTCAGCTTTGTCACCCTAACGTGGATGGCAAGATCCTACCTTATACTCACTACGTCAGCAACTTTGCAAAAAGATAGAAGACGATTTTTAAGGGTCACACACGAACCCTCTCGGTATGGTCATCGTCTGTTGACGTGGAATGTCGTTCAAGCTTGGGGTCTTCACCGACCGACATTCAACCGCGGTACAAAACACCTAAACTATCCTAGGAAGTGCGTGAGACTCACATAGGCCTCCTTGTATGATTGGCTGATCAACAGAAATGTCGCTGTAAATGGTTAACAAGTTCGTAGCAAATTCCACACACCCACACACACACATACATTGATCTTCAAGATCTTACATGGTTACTTTTACAATAATCCGACGGGCCGCTTGTACAAGGGCTCATTTCAGTGGCTGTTACTCGACAACTAACATTCAGAGTGAAACGCGGTAAATGGCAGTTCGTTGTCTAAGCATGCCTGTACCTGCGCCGTAGCCGCAACGCGCTATCACTGCAAGTTGGTTCTCTATGTTAACAGTTTGCTTTCTTTTTGAACACAGTAGTATTTTAACCCCAGGACTAGGCTTTAATAAAATGGAATTGGAGTGGAATGTCCTGAAAACGCCCATTAATGTTTAGCAAATTAACTCGTGTTCCTTAGGGTTAGCAAAACGAAAGATGTTGACCGTCGATGCAAAAGAACAACGTAGTTTAATTCTTAATGTGTTAGATGAAATTATTTCTGATATGCAGCCCTGATTTCTTTGATGCTTGCTGTTACTGAGGAAAGGTGTAGCCTCACATCTGGTGCAGCTTAAATTTCATTGCGGTACATTTTTGCATATGTGTAGTGCGAAATCCATTTTTACACAGATAACCCCTGGAAAAGTGAAGAAGCACAGCGACAGCTATCTTTGCAATGACAGGGTACTAGTGTTACGTTTTACACCTTATGAAACCCCTGAAGGGAGGATCTGACAACATGTCGATGCATTTCCCATACTGAAGAGTTGTTAAAGATGTGGGATTTTCTTGCAAGTAAATGGGTTCTTGAGCCATGAAAATTCTTTAAATTTCCTCATATTCGGTAAGGAAATAGAGAGGTAAGGTTTCAACCAGATCTTTTAAATGCTGCACAATTTCGCCAGAAAGTACTTCGGGAAA